GAGAGAGAGAGAGAGAGAGAGAGAGAGAGAGAGAGAGAGAGAGAGAGAGAGAGAGAGAGAGAGAGAGAGAGAGGCACCCGTAGAGCACTGACCGCCGAGCACACACGCACGGACGCACCGACGCAGAGCATGCACGCGCGCACCGACCACGGAGCACACACACTCGCACGTTGAGAAGGCAGACGAACCGTGGGTTGCAACAACATTGCGCGCGGGCAATTGGAAGGGTGGGCCGACAACCAAAAAAACGGGCACAAGGGCGATGGAGGGGTGGCCGGCAACACCGAAGCGGGTGGCCAGGGCAACAAAAGCAGACGGGCGGGCGATTCAGCGCTTCCGGTACCAACCGGCGACCGTGGAGGAGTGGGCGGGGCGGGCCACGATTACGGGCGGACGGGCGGGCGGACCGGCGGGCGGACGATTGGAGGGGTGGGCCACGATTACGCGCGGACGATTGGAGGGGTGGGCGGGCCTGCAATTCGGCGCCTCCGGTACCGACCGACAGAATCTAAAATCTGACATCGCACGACCCGAATCGCAGGCCGGTAACCACCGCGGACGGCGCGGATCGCAGGCTGATCAGAAAGTTTTCTGATCGGCCTGCGATCCGCGCCGTCCGCGGTGGTTACCAGCCTGCGATTCGGGCCGTGCGATATGACGTTTAGCAGTTATTATAGTGTTGTAGATGTAGATGACTTCAAACTCGACCTTTTGAAAGGTGAGTACAACAAGGTGGTTGACGCACTCTCACGAAGGGCAGACTATCTGGGCGTGCTAGTAATGAAGTTTGGCATTTCAGACGAGGTGTCTCGATCCATGGTGGAAGCCTATGAAGAGGACCCCATCATGTACGAGATAATGCACAAACTTGACGCCAAGGATAAGGCCACATCCGATGAGTTTGTGCCGGTCGATGGCTTGCTGTTCCTGGAGAAGGCAGGGAATCACCCTGAGTCCAATGGCTTGGCAGAGCAGATGAACAGGGTAGTGCAACATTTACTCTGGCATTATATCAGGCCGAGTCAGGATGACTGGGATGAGAAGTTACCTCTCATCGCCAGCCGATATAACAATGTTGTACATAGCACTAGCAGCATGACACCCAACCAGCCGCATCTTAGTTGGAAGCCCAGATCTGCTCTTGACTTTCTGTTGACTGAGAACCAGCCCACTGCAGCGCCGGGCAGCATCGAATTCGCTGTCAAATATGAACAGCTGCTGCAGCCGGCTGTTGAGCACATAAAGAAAACTCGGGATGCCATGGTTGCATCTTGAGAATAGGCACAGACGGCCATCCGCGTTTCAAGTAGGAGAAAGAGTCTGGGTTAAGTCATCTGAGCTGGGACAGGAACTGGGAATATTAAGGAAATTGATGCCATAGTACTTCAGTCTGTGGGAAGTTCTGGACGTAGTTGGGGATCAATCAGGCGGGCCCTCATATGTCATTCGTATCCCTGGTCACCTACGCACACACCCTGTTTTCCATGCCTCCAAACTAGCTCCTTTTGCTGAGACCAACAGATTTCCCTCAAGGAGATCTATGCTGCCCCCAACCATGGATGGACACGTGGACATAGACGATATCGTTGAGCACAAGCTGATGCCTTTGCCCAAGCCTCCAGGTAGGGGACGCCCTCCAAAACTGCAGATGCAGTACAGAGTGCGGTTCAGGCACCACATTGATCCTAAAGAAGACCGATGGTTCACAAGAGAGGAACTAATGAAGACTGCTCCGCAGGTTATCTCAAGATATGAGAGAAGGTTAAAAGGGAAGCAGCCTGTTGATTGAAGATTTCTCAGAGGACTATCGAAGTAAAGGAGGAGGGAGTGCGAGGATTTAGGTCCTCGGCATGCCCGTGCTGGGCCCTTACAGCAAGCATGTGCCCGCCCTAAGTGAAGGCGGGCCCCCGAATCTCAATGAGGCCTGAATTCGTCAAATTTGCAAAGCTTTGGTTGGCGCCAGACAGTTGACACACGCCAGTTGGTTATATCTGTCCTCCTCGTGAGAATCAGAAATATTTGTGAGCCTTCTATCCAGCCACGCAGGGGAAGCAGGCAACACCGCACGTTTGCCTGGGTGGTTGGGCACACCTAACCAATTCGGTCCCAGGCCACTGTCTGAATGGGCCTGGGCACAGACACTTTGGCCCGACCTGACGCTACTGGGCGCACACCAGGGCCAGGAAGCTAGCACAGCCAAGCACTTTCCATATAGGAAAGCGCCCGCCTGCCATTCATTCATTCGGCCACTTGGACGTGTGTGCGGCAGCGCTGCTGGAGCAATTGCTCGCGTGCGGCATGCTGGCGCAGGTGCTAGAGGTAACGAGCGAGGTCGCTAGGAGCAGGGCGCTGCAAGCAGGCAACGCCATAGCTCAGCCTGTCCATGGCCGGGCTGAGGTGGTGGTGGTCTTCAGGGTCATTGAGGTAGTGTGGGAAGAAGACAGGGATGAGCAGAAGAGGGGGAAGAAGGAGGGTGATGTGAGGGCACGTACCTGGTCTTGGCGGATGTCTACATGGTTGACATCTGCATGTACTTGCTGCTGCTGACGTCAACTGGTTGCTTCGTCGTTCTGTAGGCTAGTAGAGTAGCTGTACCATCGTAGTCTGGGCGCTGAGCGCCGTTGCAGGAAGAGTTGTGATTGCACTGTTGTGCTGGCGAGAGCATGCTTCCATTGACAATTGAGTTCAAATCTTTGGTTCTCTTTCGGTGTGACAACAGTGCTTTTCTGCTTTCTGGACAGCTGTCGACTATCTAGCTTTCAGTGTGATTTTGCAATCCGGAATTCTGTCATTTTGCTATTGCTCATTTTCCTTGCAGTTACCATACTATGAACAATGTGCTTAGATACTTCGATGTTCCTGTCCATTTCATGATGCAAGAAAAGAAGAAGAAGAAGACGAACACAAGCTTCAACCAATGTCATTTACCTCCTCCTCTTGCAATCAGCATCTCCCTGACATAATCCCCACCTCTCTTTATTAATAATGAAATACAATAACAAATGAACAGGTAACAAAAATTAATGTCCAAGTGATCCCCCTTGTAGAAAGATCACTCCTTTACCTTCTAAGTTGAATGCCACAGGTTCAAATCCTGTACGATGCTCAATTCTTCCGGAGAGTAGCCAAGTGGTTAAAAAGCGACAGACTGTAAATTTGTTGAAGGTTATATTTCTACGTAAGTTCGAATCCTGCCTCTCCCACTTCGTGGCCTTCAGCCTTCTTTCTCTCTTCTCCCCAGTTGGTTGGCATCTAGCTACGTCAGCTTATCCATGCCTAGCACGGATCCTCTCTACTTCGCCAGAGCCACCCTCCGAACGCAGCCCATATCTAACTGATGTCTAGCAGCTTCATTCAGCCCGGTACTTCATTGCTTTTAGTTACTTTTGAATTTAAATAAATTCCTTTTACTGATGCTAATCCGGGTTGGTGCATTGGATGAGAGCTTGCCTTTATCTTGGAGCAGCCCAAAACGCTGGGTGTGCTTCCAACAGTCGATCACTAAGGATAGTGGCTGAGCTCAGACATTTTGACAGTTGGGTACAGTCTCATGACCCGTGGGAGGACTTAAATGTTGTTGGCTTGTAAATGGGGCCAACTGCATAGGAGAAAGGGAAAGGAAGGGTTTATAATCCTTCGATCATGAGAAAAAGGGGTCGTCACAATTTTGCCCTTAATGACTCCATTCAGCCACTGAAGGAAATAGCAGTTCGGATAAGCCTTCAATCATGGGAAAAAGGGGTCATCACGATTTCGCCCTTACTGACTCCACTCAACCACCAGTTCGGACGAGCCCAAGTTACAAACCAAACCCCCAGGCCTGCCCAGCCTTCAACGTCACTCCTACCAGGTCACACCAGCTTGCATTGAAATATGCATTCAGTTTGGCGCCAATTTTTTTTTTTTTTAAATCACGAGCCAATTTGGCCAAACCGATTTTTTTTATTTTTATTTTTTTCCCTGACATGGAGTCACCAAAGGAACATACCTGATTTGTTTCGGAAACTTTTGTTGCTGGAAATCAGAATTAAAAGTCGCCGAAGTCAGGGTACTTGGACTGTCGCACCGAATCGAGTTACTTTCACTGACTCATCAGGAACTTGTGTGTGCGTGTACGTGCCTTCCTCTGTGTAAGCTCTTGATAACCGGTGAAGGATAGAGACTCCGTTCGGTGCTCAAGCCCTCCGCAAAGACGATTGTGTGAAGGTAAAAAATTTGCGCGCAGATGATACAAAGAAGTCAGTGATTGCGGTTAAGAACAGACATCGATGTCTATGTGATATAAGAGGAAGTGGTTGGGTGAGGGAAAGGGTGTGGAGGTGCTGATTCAACAAACCAGCAGGAACCTAATGAAGGAGGGCGAGATGGCAATTGGAAACCAAGAGGACCACCGATGTGTTTCAGCTTTCATATGTATGGGCACGATGCCCATGATTGCGGACCTCTGTGGAAAGATGCATGTGGCAATAAAGTTCCGGCCGAGGCAGGGGGTAGTGTGGAGGCTGGCAACTTCGAAGAAGAACCACCTCAACGCGCTCACAGAGATGGGACCTGCCTAGGTAATTGCCGTCTGCTGAAACAAAGCCCATCCCTTGTAGTATGGAAGGAGGAGGTACAGATGTTGGAGATCTTGTATCGTTGCTACTTGCGAAGGAGGAAACAAAGATTCCAAACAAGGAAGAATAAGAGGAAAAAGAGAAGGAGGCAGCTGAAAAGGAAGAACGCAGACAAAAGAAAGAAGAGAAACGAGGTCGAGAACTGGAGGAAGATGAAGCACAGTTGGTCAGGATCGTCAACCTTCCGTTTTCACGAAGATGGGGCGTGTTGTCAAGAAATGGGAATTGAAAACCGAGACAGCCCCCAGGGAAAGACAAGCTCAGGTGGAAACATCGGCATAAGAAGAGATGATCTCATTGAACAAGGAGCTATCAAACTTGAGTAGCACAAAGACTAAACTGAATCTGATAGAGAAAAGAAAGAGGGAGACTACTGAAGAGGAGTTGAGCCTTCACCATTGATGATGCAACTTATGCCACAAGGGCACCCGCCACTAACACAAGAGACGAAGATGAAGACGTGTTTATACCCAGTGTCAACGCGTGGCATATGCATTTGGAGTGATCCAAGAAAGAAAGGCCCCTGTGCTTGAAGTGGTCCAGGTGCACATCAATAGTGTATTGATGACACGGCATGACACCTGGAAGGACTTGACGATAAAGTTATACAGAATATCTGAATATGTGCAAACAAGACGGGTTCTGTACTTATGGAAAAGGCAAGCAATTGCTGTTTCGGCAGAACAGAGTGCAGTCATGGCCTATGGGACGGGATCACCACCACAATCCCCTGCACCAACAATGGAAAGTGAAGGAGTATCCACCGAGTAATTTGAAAGTGACGATGAGTACAAATCATCAGAGAAAAGCACTAAAATTGAAGAGCTCAGGAGTATCTGCCAGTGTGTAATCAGAGAAAGAGGTAACGCAGTTAGAATTCAGAGAGACTTGGAAGCGTTACTACGATGAACAATCTTCGCCTTAGCCATGAGAGGGTGCATACCTCAGGGTAGGAAATTTATACCGGACTGCGAGCAAGCAATTACAGGAGATCCAAGTGCTTTTGATGACCCTGAGTCATGTGTATATGTCGGTATATCTCCATGGTTCCCGGCAGCTTCTATTGGAAAAACTGAGAGGGAGTTGAATACTCGTTTGGGGTACAGCGCAATAAAGCCAGAAGGGAGAATACCGCAATACCCGGCAGGTAGCCCGGCACTTTTGCAGCTTTAAATAACATCAAATTTATCTGCACAGTCGTACTGGTGCACAATTAACAATGCAAACATGACCGCAAACCGGAAAACCGTGACTGGAAAACAGAACAGCAACTGCGGCACTCCCTGAAAGGCTGTCATAATCTGGGAGAGAACCTGGAACAACTTACCTCCTCCATCCCACTGGAGTGGGTACACATCCGACGGAAAGGGCCGGTGCTTCACGAAAGTGACTGGGTGGCTATCGAAGGGGACCCAGAAAGCGTGGGTAATATAGTAGAGGTACCCACAGACCAGGCGTTAGTCAACCTTTTCCACAAGAAAATAAATGCCACCTCGACCAGTTACACACCAGACGTGGTGGGATGGTAAGAAAACACGCGACTCTTCAGGATCTGGGTGCTCCACGAACGGGGGGGTCTGGACTGCATTCTGTCCCGACACCCCGCTCGTGGAACTGTCCTTCGACCCAAAGGCATTGCAATGGCAAACTGCAAGCAAAAGAAACGATCATAAAAGCATATCAAAGTACTATCCCTCGTCGGTCTGACTGTGAAAGCCACTTACAGAATGCTCAGAGTGAAGGCGAACCTCAAGGAAATAGTTAAGAATAGCTGGATGAGTGACCTGAAGGTGGGCAGGGATGACATCAGGCCGATACACTGGTTTACAGCGACCAAATCCAAACCTGCAAAAATTGCCTCTGCAATCGGACTCGCTTTCTTCTTCACTTCGCATACATGCAAACAGATGGCAATTCACACTGGCACCAAGCGCCCACTAAAAGCTCAGAGATATGGAAACCGAGAACACAGTTCAGATGCAAACTCGCTTCAACAGGCTATGGCGCACGGGCGCCTGTACATCCCAACTCTTGTCACTGTGTCCAACACCACTGTTCGCACACACTCAACTCTGGATCACCCTGAATACCCCACACATGCATACACACACACTAACACCTAA